CCGTATGAGTATACGTTGCCCAGGGTGCACCACGTGGAGGTAAGTCTATCACACACCCCGGTTTCATAAGAAGTAATAAGAACGATTCAAGAAACTCCCACCAACAGTTTCCCTAAAGCAGACCAGTTTTGGCTTGAATCTCTAAGCAAAAATTTAGTCGCATAGGTTGTAAATGTATCTTTATAACTAATGAAATGTGCCCACGAGTTCAGTGTTCAAGGGCCTATTCTCAAAATAAATATTTTTAAGGTAATGAAGAGCACAAAGATATTATATCTTACACCGAATACAGCACAAATAAGTCTCGATCAAACGTCAACAATCCTCATAGTATGAAATTGTCCCCAAAATCAACTAGACTACCTCAACATTTTCTGTAAAAGAGAACGTATAGGGTGATAAGTGTCCATAGCCAGGATATGACCACAGCCGTAGAGCTTTGTCATTGCAATACCATTAGAAATACCCTAATTCGCATCGACTATTGAGTGTTGGTTGGTTGATTAAAAAGCCTCTGTTCCCACACCGCACTAACTCGTTATGTGGTTAATGGCATGGTCGCACTCTCCTAGCTATTCGAGCACGTATAGAATCCCTTTGGTCAGCCTTAGTAGCTTTGGGTACTCTATAGTCTAACTGGATTAAACCTGCCTTTGAAGATAATACTAGTTCACTCTGGATCATAAGATTTCATGAGAGGGGAACTAGTGCGACCAGCAAATATAATTATAAGATCAAAATTCCGATCGAAACCGCTCAGAATTTTAAGCTTATTGTTGACAGAGCGACAGCGACTATAGTTGAAATGGGCATTCTACTTGACGCAACATAAAAGGCCATTTGCTTTTAATGGCAATAATAACCACTTAATTAAACTCTATTGGTTTTCTATTCCTAAGTCTTTATTGGAAAGAATAAAAAAGCCCGCGTTACTTAGTTGGAATGTAATGAGAATGTATTCTGAAGCTGCAGAATGAGAAGAACAACTCTTTTCATACTTTGTCATAAATTCAGTTAGTGGCTCATTGAATTAAACAAATCTCTACAAAACTCATACGCTAAACTATTTATTTCTTTTCAAAATTACCGGATATTGATCCACAAGGTATCATCTTGGGCAGATCATTCAAAACTATGAGAGGTTTACATTAGTGAAAAATCCTGCTTGACCTTCTGCGTTTTCTACAACTCTGTGTACTTACGGACTAATTTCACTCATTAGTGAGCATCTCTCCGCGTACATAATTGAGCGTAATGATGACCTCATAAAGATGCGAAACTTACATCGAAGGCCGGATAACTTAAAATAAGTAATTACCGAAAGAGGGAACACATTGTTTTAAGATCATATTTTGCGATAATAGTTTTTGAGGAAGATCTTTTCGACTGAAAAAAACTATTTGGATAAATGGAAGTAATAAAACAATTTGTTGGAATATCTACATGAAAATTTTTCACTGTAAATGACATCATTTTTAACTCAATAAATTTTGCAAGTCAAGACAAATAATGCTCCTTTTTCTTCATCGGAACCTATAGACACCGTCAAAACCGAACGGGATTCGTTTCTAAAACACAAATTAATATTGAAAAGTTTCAAATATTTCCCCTTAATCAATGGGAAGATAATCGAAACGCAACATTTTAATCCCTTTACCATTAAAAGTATTTTCATATGCATGTTGTCGATAAGGCACCGCAACCAGGAATGAGCACCATCCCTGAAATTTTTGACTTGACAGAAATGAAAACTATCACACAGGTCACTGGTTTTCCAGTAAAAAAGGCTATCAAATCTGCCCACTGCAAGCCTCTGGAGTGCGCTAATAAACTTATGGCACGTATAATACCTATACGACGACAATGTGCGTTAGCACATCATCGAGCTTACTTCAACACGTGTGAACTCTATACACGATCATATTCCAGCTCTTTCACACACTCAATTGAAAATGCCCAAAAAGACCTCAAATGAGAAAATATTGTATATTAGACATAGAGGTTTATCAAAAATATAATGCAAATGCAGAATGTGGGTTTTTAAATTCAGAATTTCATGTAAAGAACGAGGGGACAATGATCACTTCCCAGTACACCACATCTAATCTCCTGGTCGACAACATTTGAAAGAAGACGCTCTGATACAACAAAATAATCCAGCCTCCAGCCAGCATTCGTTTTCCTTGCGTTATGTCGCGCGCTCCAATATGTATAGGCTCTTTCGCGATTGGGATAGAAATGGCGATAAGTATCAATCATTTTACAATTCGTTAACATCTCCGAGAAACCTTGACGCTCCTCATCTGTGAAACCGGCAGTTCGCCTATTACCTTCGGGGTTAGCCAAATCAATTTCATTATGGGACACATTCAAATCACCAGTTAGGATGACTGGTTTCTTAGAGTCCAGTTTCTTAATGTACTCACACATATCCTTATTCCACTCCTTGGTCCGATAGGAAAGGCGAACTAACCCCTGTCCTGAATTAGGAACATCTAAAATGCGTAAAAATTCAAAATATACAGGAGCTGACTTACAAGTATTAATAAGATAGAAATTTTCATATTCAGCAGTAATTATGCGTCCTTCCGTATCGTGCTTAGAAACTCCTAAGCCATACACTACGCTCAGAGGTTTAGTTTTACTGTACAAAGCAGTTCCAGAATAACCAGGTTTATCAGCTGAATACCAGTGGGAAATATAATCCCCAACATCTGCGGTTGGTGGAATGTCTTTCCTAGCACACTTAATTTCCTGCAAACACAGCATGTCAGGAATTTCATTCCCAAGGTAATTAATACCACCATTCTAATAGAATTACCTTATGAAATAGTTAAACAAACCTTTATCCAGGCACGTAATCCATTCACGTTCCAAGAAGCAATCTTCAAATGATATTTGCCACTAGGTTCAACTGAGAAGCTACTCAGAGAGACTGTTGACCCTGGATAAGCCCTACACCATTCAAATGGTGGAGCCTCGCTATTAAAATTAACGGGTTTGCTACTGCCTGCAGCAAAAGCATTAGATTTGACAATTTCGATATTTTCTTTGATAGTATTAGTTAATCTGCGAGTCTTGGTAGCATTCTGTGACTTCTTCGCTGTTTTTGTAGACTGGTCGGTTTCATTTCTTTTCTGGCTACCAAAATTAAGCTTAGAATATTAGTCAAGTGAAGAATAAATACCTTCGACTGCCTAGCCATAAATCTCAGGCAATGTTGAAATACAAACGGCCTGAAGGTCATAAAGCTAAGCAATAGCTTCTAACACCGATGAAAATGACTCCAAATATTTGTAAATCTTATATTTATTATAACGCTCAACATTTGCAGCATAGAATAAAAATGTATAACAAATAATCTCGTTTACGCATATTACGAATTTTATGGCAGCTCGGGTATAATGCGCTAGTTGGAAACGAATATTTAAATTTTAGAACGCTAAATTCTGCAAGAAATGTTTATATTCCCGCGTAAAAAATTTCAGATGGCCACATTTTTTAAATCTTCAAACGTTGTGCTATGCAGTTTTACTGGTGCTAGAAATAAAATAATCGAGTTTGATATCGAGAATTCTTCCAGTTCCGTACAGTTTTTTTGTATTTACAAGGTTTCACCAATATCACCTACCTTAACTCCAAGTTGCGAAGACAAACCGACTGACCAAGTGCTTTGTAAGCTCAGTAACCTTCTTCAATCTTGTAACCTTACAACTGCTTAGATATGAAAGAGCAAAGGTGTTTGAGTGGCCATAACATTGAGAAAAAGGGAAGCCACAATCGCGTTCATATTTGGACTTGAGAATTGTTATTGTTTGACGTGTACCAACCTATATGTGGGTGACAATTACATTTGGAATTGATATGCATCATTGCTCTATATTATATATTCGATATAAGAAAATAAACATAAGAGAAATGAACTTATAAGATGCAGAATATGCCGTAATTATTAAATAATTCTAGATATGACATTTTTAAAAGAATTTTATTGAGAAACATATTGTTTCTATAATTTTACTATCATTAAGATAATAGAAATGAAGCTCTTGCGATTTTGTTACTAAGTGAACAAAGGTTCCTACTTTTATTATTCATAAGTATACGGAGATAAAATCTAGAATAAATTTCGACTGAAAATGGGACGCTTGAATTCCTCTTCCTTAAATTCCGTCCTGATAATTCATTCAATGAACGCTATATAAGCGACAACTGGATCTTGTTCTCAAACAATTATGAATTAAAATGTCATTTACTCAGTGTATGCGTACATTACCTCTAAACTCTTAGCCTATTTCTCCAGTAAGCCAAAGTTTATAGTTAGTCTCTAGGTACCAATATGTGTATGTTGATTCCTTTTTATCAATGTATTCAAATTAAATCAATTCAAGTGACTCGCCTCATCTACTTTTGAAAATACTCGTGTCCTTTGGCAGGTTCATCCTAAATCATTTCGCCTTAAATCTATCTACAAATTAGAGCAACCAATTGTAATCTCTATTAAGTGCTCAGTAGCCTGCAATAGCTGACAGGACTCGAGAATCTGCAGTTATTCGGAGTCAGGGTATTGACGAAAAGTGAATTGAACCATTCTTCATTTCTATTCATGGTCCAAATCGCATAACATCCTTTTAAATCAACGGGGAAAGTCTTAAAAGAACGAAATTGCCTCAACCCTCTCCCTTGTCACTAAAATAAAGCATCGCCCCGTCCAATCCCCTTCTTACATCATCGCAGTAGGTCTACAGCTGAATATGGAGTTTGAAAGTTGCTGTGATAATCCAGACTGGAAACCAACAAGAATACAGCAATTAATGTATATAAAAGGAATATAATTGAGTGTAATATATAGGGTCAGAAGTGGATCAACCATGACAATTCCTCACCGGACAGATGATCTATACACAATCAACCATCACGAGACTTAAAACACTTGAGTCTTTAACAGGATTCTGAGACGGAATTTTAGGGAAGAATTTTTGTACATGAAGAGGACAGTAAATAATGGCAATAATATTGATGACAATTAACAGTCATCAGTTTAATTGGAAAGATAGGTCAGTTTGACTGAAGAGCAAAAAATGTGCAGGGAATCTGTACAAGAGGGAAGGTAGATAGGGTTAATCTTCTCTTTTTATTAGGATCTACTTGGTATTAGAACCTAAGCATGCTGATCCGCTTGCAGCAGCGATGGCTGCAACGGGCTCTCGACTTGTCACCACTGCGTGACCCGATTTGCCACATGGCATAACTGTCGTTTTGACCCAAGAGTCTTGTGATGGATCGTAAACTTCCACGCTTGATAGAAACTCGTTGCCATCGTAACCGCCTACAAAAAGCGCAGTCACTCAAGTTCTAATCAAAACTAGTGTAAAATTTAAATCAATTAGTACTTACCAAAAACCCAAATCTTCCCACCCAACACAGAAGCTGAGAGAGCTGAACGCGGATGCAGCATAGGGGTCATATACTCCCATACATTCTGCTCTGTGTTATAACGTTCGACACTTCGTAATTGGCTGTGAGAATCGTAACCACCCACCGTATAGATGAAATGGCCAATCGAGACCACACCTACACGGAAAGGGAAGAAAATCAGAAAATTCAATCCTACTTCTATATGAATCAGTAGACGATTCGGCAAACAATCAACAGATAGGAGTATTATTATCTCTAAACAAATCCCTTTTCTAATTAATGAGTTTGTAAGCAGACAATAGAAAAACGAAACGAAAAACAGTAAATTTTGTGCATTATTAGTCCACGAAACTTACATTTGACAGTAGTATCGTCAATTTTCCAATAGCAGACAATGGTAACAATCATTGACTGACTGGCAAAACAGTTTAATCGGAGGTTGTTAATTGTGACCTGGAATTTGATTTACTACTTTAGGAGGAAAGGGTATTAGTGCCCCATGAGTCTCTTTTTCAATAAGTCTATTCAAAAGTTTGCGAAATCAAATTAACAGGACTAAACAAAAGGTTTCACATTGGTATATTATTTAAACATGCTTTGCAATGGATATGCACTAATGAAAATTGAACCTATCGAAGGCAACCAATATTCTGAAATTCAACTATTTCCAAAATCTTAAAACGAAAGTTATTTTACAATGAATTCAGGAGTTAATAAGGGAGAGTAAGTGTTTCAAGATCTTTAGGGTGGGCGTTGACAACATTTGGCCTGAGAAGCCATTGATCTCGTGACTTTTGGTATAGCAAATGTAGAGAACAAAGTTTGTTCTAACACCTACCCAACCGACTAAAAAACATCCTATTGATGTCTTGCTTACGAACCTCGTAATCAATCATTACCAAAAACTCTGAGAGAATAATAAACCTACCCATTACCGCTAACCTTTGTCCGACAACTCAGTACTTTTTAGAAGCTACGGTCTCTGAGGTTTTAGTCAGAACAAAGGGTTTCGATCAGCTTCGATCGCATCCATTGCGGCTAATACATCTCTTGAGGTGCTTGCGAGCACGCCCGCCTGTCTTTTGTCTATGTCACACCCTATGTACACATGAGGGACCCTACTGTGGTTTTCTCACCCCCCCCCCTAAAAGAGTAGCAAAAGTGAGAGTCCGAGGTTGCTCGAGAGACGTGTCCATTTTCTTGGTCATCACCGCACACATAGGGCTGGCTGGATGTGTGCTGATACTCGATTCACGAGCGTGCTTTACCACACAGCTTACACGCTTGCTGCTTGACTAAGGCGCAGTGAGGAAGGAAGGGCAGACAAAAAACGCGCACACAGCTAGCTGGCGAGATCCACACTTGGCCATAAATTGCGTGTCTACACGTCGTCTCGCCTGACCGTCCGTTCGCCATTAGCAGACCGAACGATCAATACCCGACCAACAACAACAATTATCTTCATCATCTGTGCGTGTATACACCACTGCCTCTACTGTGCGAGTTATGAGTGTCTGCCGCACATTTTAATGCCACCACACCATCTCGACATGTTACCGCGGCGCCGAAATTCTTTGATGTCTTGCAGTGTGCCGACCCCAATAATAGCACATGCGTACCTACCTACTTAATGTGTATTAATACTACTACTATTGGCAATAATAGTAGTAGTGGTGGTGGTGGCCATAACAATAGCAACTCAGTGAATACTACGTCTTGTGCCGATAAATTTTATACACGCCCGTTTTCCGCTACGAATGCTGGTGCCACTGCAAATACTCCTCTCTAACGAGAGAACTATCCAACCGACTACTCGTTCTGCAGCGCTAATGTCTTTCTGTCTGAATAGCGAACTGCAGTGTGTACACAAATATGGCCTACTACCACCGCCTACCTATCTGTCTTCATATATGCAGTCTATGTGTCTGATTTGTGCCCACGTCTGACTGAGTATGCCGCATGCAGATACCAGATGCCTCAAAATGCAGCAGCAACTTTTGAATACATATATTTCCGTATTGTGCACACATCGATATTGGTTGAAATATAAGGAACTAGAGAGGAGATTGGAGACTCGCAATTAGTAATATCTGCTGACGGGCTAGTGTGATTGACAGGAGCATGAATGGAGGCAGGCATAAAAAGGACAATAAAACCTTCCCCTAAGAATTTCTCCACTTTCAAAGAGCAGAGTGGGCACTTCCAGACACGTTACCAATTACAAAATCAGATGATTAATAAAGTCTGTTCTAAGAAAAAGAGCAGGTGAGAAGAAATCGGGACGATTTTACTATTGATTATTATAGCTTCAAATGGCATATGTTAATACTCGAGAAGTCTTAAAAGTTGGAGAAACACAAGTGGGCTTAATAATGGGTTGTGCTAATATGATAAAAAATTCGAGTACAAGTCTCAAGACATTTCTAGCCTTAGATTGCGATAAAATGCAGGGAGATTTAAGAGCTCGTCATTATTTTCAGAATATACTTGTGTGCAGTGTGTTCCGGGCTTTCCCAACCATAAAAGCATAGCAACAAAAACGGAGAGAACCCTTCTTTTTTACAACTATATAATAAACAACTAAATTTAGATCTGGTTATGTCTGGGAAAACCGTAGTTGGAAAAATGCACATAACTTCGGAGAAAATTTTTATCTACGATTAGAAAAAATGAAATTTACGACCTCACTAGTGAATTATCGGACTTCTTTACTCTCCAAAAGTGTTATGGAGAAAAATCATCGATTACACTAAGTCTACTCGTATGACTATCATAGAAGACACGACACGTTATAAAAATAAATGAACGAAAACACATTCTTTGATAAATGATCTACAAAATTAGAGGGTCTGAGAAAAGGTATATGATTTTCATGATGGTGAAGGTTAGAAGCAGACCATAGTAACCCAGTTCACATTTCACTCAATATATACGTTAAGAAATTAAGACTGAATTCTATTAATGTGGGCTTACCAAAACGCATTCTCGTCTAGACACAAGATTATTAATAGCTAAGACCATGGACAGACAAACGACAAACATAGCCAATTAAAAGAATACAAGATGACATTTAGCAAATTCTATACAAGAACATGAACCATCCAACTGACCAAAAAATTGGATGCAAACTGGAATATATATATATATATATATATATATATATAATTTTACGGCGTTAAGGGAGCTAAAATGAATGGGGAATGGGAGAACTGACGAATACCAAGCGCCAAGA